AATGTTCATTGTGCTGAAATATGTTGTTGATTCATTTCTCATCTAGTCAGTATCTTCAGAAATCCCCATTCAAAGCTGCTCTGAGGCATGGTAGAAGTTGGCAAAGATTTTGATCCAATAATAAAGTAAAGTGAACAGCCATCCCAAATTTTCTGGGACAGTTCCAAATTTGGAGCTGTGTCCCAGTACCTTCCAAAAATCACTGGAATTGGAGTGTTCCCCCCATTTTTAAAAAAGTGGTCCAACCTTCTCAGTGTTCTCCAAGAGTCGTGCAGTATTCAGTGGTTTTGCTGGAAAAAGACTTCTGATTTCAGAGGTCTGTGGAACATTCTGGATGTTATCCTGTAATTTACTTCTTGAAGTTGTCATTTTATTATGAAGAAATGTCTTCATTTCGATTTTACCAATTTGAATCAGTAATAGTTTGGTGGAGTTGGATGGGCACGTTTGACCGTCTTACCAGTAATATCAAAATCTACCTTTTGTGAACAATCGGCTTATCCCCTGGATTTACCATCTGCTTTAATATTAGTGATCATAGGCATGAAAATGTTCGAAGTTTAGGTTAATTTCTGAAACCAAGCCCTGCAACCTACCATCTCCCTTATCCAGCTCCTTTCTCCTTTTTGTGCAGACTTCTTCAGGAAGCATTATGATCAGCCACATCTCTCCACTCTATTCAGTTGGTGACATCTTAAACTCATTCTGTTTGAGTCTGTTCCACTACTGTCTTGTGGCCTTCATTCTTGAGTAGCAAGGCCCAGAAGACCTTCTGCTGTCTCATTACACTATTTAAATTGCAAAAGGCACGTTGGAGCTAATTTCCTTTGTGTGCTAGAGGACTGACAAACTTTCAATCTTACTTGCTGCTTTGCTCCATTCACACGAGAACTATTAATCAAAAAATCGTAAAGGTTAATTGATTTATTGTTTTATCTAACTGCAAACTTTAGGGCATCACCTTGTGGAACTAGTATAAGTAATACATAGGTGGTGCTTATTCACATTTTTATTTATTTATTTTCATTTAGGAATGGGTTTTGTGTGGGCCGCGAGTGACCCGAGCCCTTTTTCGTGCTGCACACGGGCTGTGGCCAGCAGCCCGGGCACGCCGGGCTGGAGAGGGAAGGACGTCGAGCTGGAATTAGGCACAAACGCGTATCAGTAGTTTTAAAGATTGTTTACTTACACCGAGATGGCAGTGGTGCAGGCTGGAAAACTTGCTTAAGTTGCGGTTACAGACAGGAAAGAAGAGAGGCGGACAAGAGTTCTAGACTCGTGAACTCTAGCCCAATCCGGCTGAAGGCTCTGAACACGCGAGCCCATCGTGTCAGCCGAAGAAAGTACTTGTCCGAAAGAGCTCTGAATAAACTCACACGAAGTTTGCTAGGCTCCGTGAGTCTTTCTGCTCACTCATTCTCACGAAGTTTGCTAGGCTCCGTGGGTCCAGTTCTTTTGCGCGCGGGAAGGGATACGTCTGGATTGCGCTCGGCGACAGGGAGAGGCTAGAGGTTGATCAGACCTCCGTTGCCTGCTTTAAATGCACTGGGTCCGTAAGGATCCGCAGCGCTTAGAGATCTTCACACAGCGTGAAGTCTCCTCCTCCCTTGTTCGTGGAGTCCTCCAACTTGGGCGGAAACCACTCAAGCCTTTTATACGGCTAGCAAGCCAATCACTAGCCGCCACGTGTGAATAATTTAGAAATGGCCAATAATGGGACTCGAATTAGCATACAAATGGCGGAAACTCTTTGCAACGAGCATTTCTGTGCTGCAACAAAGAAATGCACCCTGCAAAGAAAGCTTCAAATTGGCGGGAAATTCTCCCTTGCACCGGGGTTCTCTTTTGCAGCAGAAAACTCCACTGTGCAAAGAAGCTGCAATTTAGCGGGAACAATTTAGCAGTGCCAAAGCACACACAAACAAAAATCACACCCTTTGGGTTGTGACAGGTTTCATTTGGTTTCCTGACTACTGTTGACACCTTGTTTACTCAGTCTGAAGTTGTCATGCTTCCTTACTAATCTAGCCCATGGCTTACTTTCCTTTATTGTACCAGTGCTCAAATGCTTTTTCTTTTATCAACAAACTCTTATTCTTATCTGAGTTCATGTTTACTTTCCAGTTTGTTCTTGCTCCCTCTGCCTAAAGAAACTTTTGCTCCACTCTTCCCTTTCCCTTTTAAGATTTTTGAGGCTCTGGATGTGCACTGTTCACTCCACCAACCCAACTTCAATGCCTTATTGCTTGGCCTTCACTGCAGTCATCAGTGACTACGTTCTTGCCATATTTAAACATGTCTTCTACATAAACCTTCTTACAACACTTTCTGTTACATATTGCAAAATCCTCTCCTAAGCCCTTGTCCTGCTGGAGTGTCTACAGCTCTGCTCCCCTGGCTTTCCCAACTCACTGATATTCTATCAGTTTTCTCCGGTGGCTTCCCTTTTCCTTCCTCTCCATCTCTTGTGGCATGCCTCAGTCTTCTGTCCTTGTTATCCTCCCTTTGGATGCCTTTGCTGGGTAATTTAATCTACTTTCAGGGGTGTAGGTTGTAGCCGTGTTGGTCTAAGGACATAGGCAGACAAGGTTCTTTGGGTGAATCTGATCTCTTTTATTATTTAAGTTGGTCTAAAAAAAGAGATCACATTCACCCAAAGAACCTAGTCAATCTACTTTCATCCACTCTTTTCATATGCCTCCAAGGAACAATCCTAAGTTTCTTCTTGGGTGTTCCACTATCTCAGTGTTAAACTGTATGAAGCCTTTTTTTTTTCCTTTCTTTTCCTTCCAAAACAGTCTCCCACAGATTTTCTCTCAAAGAAGAAAATTCCTCCCTCTTTCATCTTAATATCAATATATCTTGACCCCCTCGCTGGATCTGGGTCTGAATAATTTATTAAACAGGATGTAGCTCCTAGTGGCTCCTTACAATAGTGGCAGAGAGAGCATCTGTGCTGTACTAGCACATAGGTGCTGACTGGTATAGTGCCCTATCCTTAGCTGTGTGTTCCTGCAGAAAGATCTGTTGTGGGCATAGTGGTGATTAACTTTGATGTTGTTTTAATGTAATTTGGAATATAAACCTTTTTGTAACAAACTTAAAAACTTAGCCAAGGGCAATTGGAAGTTGGGAAGGTTTCCCAGCCTTTTGAGCAAATTGAACTGACATTTCACAGAAGCTGATCTAGTTTATTGGTTTTCTCTGAAAGCCAGACAAAACCAGCAATTTTAACTTTGTTGAACTCTACCTTTTGAAATTGTTTGTATGAATTCAAAATGCACAGAGATACTTAGGAACCTACAAAGAAGCAAACAGAAAAAATAAATCCTCCAGCCTTGGAGGGGCCCTGTGAACCAACCATCTTGAGTTTTCAACCTTTGTTATTTTGATATGTATTGTTAGTTTAAGTGCATCAAATTTTAATTTCTGAAAAAAAACAAAATGATGACAACAAGAAAAAGTAAACATGAGACTTGACACAACAGGCCATTAAAGGCATTAAAGGGCCATCATGGAAATAAGCATCCATGATCAACCAGTTTATGCTTTTTAAAAGCTGTATTATTTTGCTGGTAGACCATAGCAGCTCTGTTGGAGCTATTGCAATCTATTGGATAATTAAGTGGCTTTTGATGCATGCAGTAAATCTGAAGATACATATTACAGCTATTATATTCTACTGGGTGACTATGCGTTTGGGAAATGTACAAGTTTTGTTAACATTCATTATTTGCTTATTAAACTGTAACAGCTCTGAAGAAGCTGTTATAATCGATTATGGAAATTTTTATTTAGGCACATTTTTAAAAGTGGAGTTTTTTACATGATATATGGAGCCATTAAGTTCTACAGGATAAATCCTTTCTACTATTCCTCATTTGCAGTCACTGAAGCAGCCCTTTACAATTCCCTAAAATGCAGCTTTTTCAATATTATGCATCTGAATTACCATAAGACTATAATAATAATAATAACAATAATAATAATAATTCCAGCATAGAACAAATACTGTCTTGAGAAATGACTTTCAAAAGTCTTTATTGTTCCCCTTTCACATTAATCAAATCAATCATTAGATAACTTGACAACTTTCAAATATTATATTGAATGCTTTATGTGTTGTTTAACCTCTAAGAAATGCTTAAACCAGTGCATTAGCATTAATTACATTCAGCTTTAATTAAAAATCAGCTATTTAAAAAGTATGATAGCACTGTCTTTTAATACAAGGAATGTCAGTATAACAACTGATATGAAACACTGATTAAAACTAAAAATGTAAGAGTAAATCTTTTATTTGTACTATTTTAAGTCATTTTAAGAAGAACTGTTGCCATCCCAGTACCTGAAAATTGTCAAAAACTGAGCTGTATAGTTTCTTTATCACCACATGTAGTTCATAATGATGGAATTTTGGTTGCTTATGCAAACCAATAGCTTATGGCCTTCAGTACAACTTTTTACTTCACAGCTTTAATAGATTAATTAGTGACCTAATTCTACCAGTTTGTGGGCCTTATGGCAAAACTGTTCAATCTTTGTTCAACCTTTAACAGAAGGGTGAATTTTTATTGTGGATTTTCTTTGTTATCAAAATATTTCCAAAGTGTATGATCTCTTTTGTAACGTAAGCGTTCCCATAAGTACATACATAGATAGATATCTTCTCTCATTGGCACGAGCATTTATATAAAACAGATTTTCTGCACATTCAAATCTGAATTCTTTGCAGATAAGATAAAATTTAAAAATTGTGGCAGGAGTTCACTAAGTTTAAACATGATTGTGAACCCTGAAACCACAGTTTAATAAGCTGTTTGTGTGTCTTCAGATTTGCATCAGCAATATATCTAACAGTTGTATTAATTACTGCTTTTGAGAAACCCATGCCATATGGTTTATTACTATTTAAGGTTGCATTATCATTCATATATGTTTGAATATAGAGTGCTGAAGGATTTGCTACTTAACATATGTTTTCCTCCATTTTATTTTAGCCCCCTGTGAAGCCAATGCATTCTTTTGCCATAGTAATATGTGTATTAATAACACATTGGTTTGCAATGGACTCCAGAACTGTGTGTATCCTTGGGATGAAAACCACTGCAAAGGTAATAAGCAGAATTGGAATTGTTGAGATGATAGACCACCATTATCCCCAGTGACTTTTTAACCAGGTGCCAGATTGGGTCAGGATTGAGCAAAAATAAATGACAAAAAGAAAACAGGTGAAAATGTGGGTGAACATGCATAAATTGTTAGTATTTCTTTTGCTTTTGACTTGTATATATGTTATGACCCATTGCCATGTTCTTGGACTCAGTAGCCTATCTTTGCATATATTTGGAATTTTGTCTGTTTCCTACGTTTGAAATTTGTATAGAGAACTTTAAAAGTGGCAGCTGGTAGGAACAGACAGCTGTTTTTTAGACTCTTGCCTATAATAACAACATTGAAATCCAAGATGCAGCAGGAAAAATCCTGCACCAAGCAGACAAATCCACGCATAATCTACCAGTCAACTTAAAATGTCAAGAATTAACATTGTAAACCAGGCATGATGTTTCGTTCATGAAGACATTGACATTCCTGACCAGGTTGGATACTAGTTTCCAGGTGGCACTCGCTACTTTCAAACAAAAAAAAGATAAAGAAGAAAAATAAAAATTCAGTATCTATGTTTCCTTCAGATGAAAAGGCTTAGCTCATGACAGGCTATGGAGACTATTTGCTTTTTCTGTTACTGCAGATTTGTTCCTGGAAACAAGAGAGATGCCAAATTTAGGAACCAATCAAGAAAAAAAATTCAAAATGAGATGGATTAGCAGCCAGCCTATAAATCTGCTGAAGCCTGTAAAATCCTGACAAGCCGTTAAATTAAGTAAACCATAAATGAACTTGTGCTGCAAAAGAACACAGCAAAACAGTTAAAATGAATAATTTTCCTCAGAGAAACTAAGCTTCCAAATGGGGAAGAATAGTCTAATTTTCCCTTTTTACTTTATCAGTGGAAAGAAAAACCTTTAACTTCTCATTTGTTTCTAGAAAGTATTGCATCTTCCTTTTACCAAATGCCAGGTTGAAGCTGCATCATTTCCATTAGGTCCTGTGTTTATTTATTCACCATTATATTTCGTACTAGAGAAGCAGATTTGCTGGTTAGATCCAGCAAATAAGCTGATTGCTGTGCTGCTGGGCTTTTTTTTAATCTGGTGCTACTGCTTTTCCCAGTGCTTCATTAGTCAGTTGGAGGACCCCGATACCAATCTGCTGTACCAACACAAGGGCTTGAAATTTGCCTTCTAAGCATCATACAGACTGCAAGGAACGTGTTTGTTGGGCAAGCAGGCGTATGACTCTTTTAGTGTGAATGCTTTTTATTTCAACTGTATATCACCCTATTATGCATTAAAGGAACAGTAAAAAATATGCTGAATTAAAAGTTAAGGCTATATCACACTTTCATAGTAAATATCATAATCCTGAAAGACCTTCTTACAAAGAGGTGTGAACCCTCCACTTTAGCTTTAGCTCTCATAGCTCAGTCATCAGCTCACTGGGCATCTATGAATTACAAAGAAACCCACAGAGAATTATGCAGAAAAGAGGGATGAAACTGCATTGTGTTTCTGGGAGTCTTCTGAAGATTTTAAATGCCAAGCAGATATTTTAAAAGTTTTTCTAACCAAGGGATAGATTGATATCTTGCCATCTGTTTTACATAAAGGGTAATCAGCCTTTGTGCTTAGGCTAAGGGTATTCTGAAGAGATGTATTAATGAACTTGGATATGTATTTTGTGGCAGATAAAACAAGTAATGGGTTATATGGGGTTATTTTTCTGAAAATCTTATCAGTTTTCTCCTGATTCAGCTCAGTCTTTGAATTCTGTCAGCAGTTCCAGTCAGTTCATTAGTATTAGGAATTCAGATGAGTTCCAAGGCAAAGAAGTATTTATTTTTTTTAATCCTGTAAACCACTGCTATTTCACTTAACTTACTTAACAGTGGGCATGTCTACATGTTTATTAATATGCTTTTGCTACTGAGCATTAAATTTAGTACTTCTAATGTGAGGTACTAGCTAAATGCGCATTAGGCTGCCCTAATGCACAGTAGTGAAAATGCATGCATTTTTAGTGATGCTTGAAGTGCTGTAGTCCAGTTTTACTGTGTGTAAGCCTATTAGCACAGTTTTTGCCATAATTCTCTAATGCACAGTCAAATAGGCTACTAATACCTTACTACATATATTTAGTGATGGGGAAAGAAAGTAAAAGAGGAGTGTCAAGTAACAGACTTGTGATTTGTTTTGGAGTAGACTGGAGATTGGGGATAACTTTAGCAGCAGCTTGAGAAAGTAGACATTTCTTTTATATGCTTGAGTTTGGGCTACATCCTGCTTACCACTTGGCAGACCTCAAAACCATCATGTTTATTTTTTAATCGGAGATTAACACTGTGCTTTTCTTCTGTCACACAGAAAAAAGAAAAGCTAACCTATTGGATCAACTTACCAATACCAGTGGCACTATAATTGGGGTGACCTCTTGCATTGTGATCATCCTCATTATTATCTCTGTTATAGTACAGATCAAACAGCCTCGTAAAAAATTTGTCCAAAGGAAAACAGACTTTGATCAAACAGTATTCCAGGAGGTGTTTGAGCCTCCTCATTATGAGTTATGCACTCTTAGAGGGACAGGGCCTACAGCTGACCTTGCTGATGTTGCAGATGACTTTGAAAATTATCATAAACTGCGGAGATCATCTTCAAAATGCATTCATGACCATCACTGTGGATCACAGTTGTCTAGCACTAAGGGAAGCCGTAGTAACCTCAGCACAAGAGATGCTTCTATCTTGACAGAAATACAACCCCAGCCTGTAAAGCCTCTCATCCAGCCCATGAACAGGAGAAATATCCTTGTTATGAAGCATAGCTACTCACAAGATGCTGCAGATGCGTGTGAGATAGATGAAATTGAAGAGGTACCAACTACAAGCCACAGGCTGTCCAGACATGATAAAGCTGTCCAGCGGTCAGTATCAATAGATTTTTGATGAAGACTATTACATAAGGACTTGATTGCCTCAAATATTTTCTTCATTTTTTTTCTTTACTCTTTAAGTTTCTCTACCTATTTATAGCTTATGTCATTAAATTTTCTCTCTTTATCTCTACCCCTACTCTTCAAGCCCCTCACATCACACTCTCTTTGTCTTTCTGTCTTTTTCAATCTATCTTTTTCTTTTACTGTTTTACACACACACACACACACACACACACACACACACACACACCAACCAAAAAGCAGGTATAATTTTTACTTAACCAAAGAAGATTTTGTGAAAATCTAGGTTTTTGAAAGAGCTACATGCATGTGGTTTCCTTAAAGCTAAGAGGTGGCCTTCAGTACCGTCCACAACCCATAACAACAACAGTAACAATGGAGTCCAAATCAATAGCAAAACATATTTATCTGTTCTCATACATGGCAGACTAATGAGAAACACTTCTGAGATAAGGAAACCCTTTTCTTATTAAAGTTTGTTTTCTATAAAGTGAATGGCAATATTTTCAAAACATTTACAATATCTATCTATTCTGTTATTAACCATAATCTCACTGCTTGTCATATTATTATACATATATATCATTTAGAATATGAGACATTATAGTGCTTATAGAATATTCTTATATATTTACATATAAAAATGGCATTGAGAAGAGTCTTTCTAATCACTAAAAAAGTAGAGTCTGGCATGATATTTTTAATACAGAAACTTATTTTTATTGTGTATTGCACCTTGAATGCCTGTAAATATGAATGATTAAAAGTTTACAAGTAAAAGAAAAGAAAAACAGAAACAGTTATGAACCACTTATTTGGAAAACAGCACTCAGAAACTTTTTATATGTATTTGTATGTCTTGCATGCATTACTGATGCGCTTCCTGTGGTTGTTTACATGCTTTCCATATTTTCTTTGCACATTTAAGGCATCTCTAACTCTTTAAAATTCTTCAATTATTTTAATCTATTTGCATGCCAGTATTAATGACTTGGTACACATTGACCAGATTATCAAGGTATACTGTTTATTAAGTATCTATATGCATATATTCTTTTTTTTCTATGCAAACATTATTATGTTGAATGAAATAGCCATAACATTCCAGGTTCTGCCTCATTGGGTCTCTAAGCAAACATGAGTCTGAATACAACACAACTAGGGTCTAAAAGACAAACTTGAGGTAAGTAAATATATAAATGAATGTCAAATGCCTCATCTGTTGCATTCCATTTTATTCTGTTACATATGAAAATGTCTGATGTTTCCAAGTTGTATGCTAGCTAGTTAAGAATTTGCATATAAAGTGTCAGCTTTGAATGTAGAGAGAGTTGCAATTACGTATTGATGATTAACTTGCACATTATAAACTAAACATATAATCTATTAAATTCTCATATTCAACAGTACTGTAATCATTCCATAGCTAAATATAACCTTCATTTTAAGCACACTATGAAGACAGATGCTTTGCATGGCTTGGGTGCTAAACTTGTATGTCTGTGTATGGATGTGTGGGAGAAAATAAAATTTTATAAATGTCCCAGCATGTGATATGCTATGTAAAACATAGCCTAACTTCTTTAGTCACAAAGATATGGAACTATATGCTATCAATTCATTTTACTCATGCAACATTGTGAGGTGTTAGAGGAGTGGGACGAGAGGCAAGGAGAGACTGTTAATTTTAAGTTTTAATAATTGCCACTTACAATTAATTTTAATTAAATAGTTTACTAGGCTGTTCATTTCCTTTAATCTACTATCACTGACACTTAACCTGAATAAATATAATCTAAATTTTTATAAAGAAGTTATAGGCAGATGACAGACTGGCACTTATATATATCATATATGTATATATGTATGTTTATATGTGTATATATGTATATATTATTTTATAGGGGAAAATGTGTGAAATGCTTTAATAGTTTTGTGATAAGTAGATAAGTATTTGTCTACCTAATACTTATCTACTTATTTACTTGTCTACCTAAATTTTCCTTTATGGGGAGAAAATGTTTTAACTTTGTTTTGTTTTCAGAGAAGAACTATTTATACAAACATGGTAACTGTGAAAGGAAAATCTATAATGAATTATTTCAACTGTCAAAAGAAAGTGGACATGTTTCTAAATTCATTCCGCTGCCTTTATCCAAACCTAAGAATTACAGACATTTCTTACTTCCTCAGCAAGATATTCCCATTGCACAATAACATGTTTATTTTGTAATTTGGTTGCTGGCCACCAAGTGCTCCTTAGTTTCTAAATACATTTTGAGATTTACTGGAAACTTGAAGAAGAAATTAATTCCTGATTGAGACTATCCCAGATTTATTTTTTATCTTAGTTTTATTTTGGTTGCTGTTTTATGTCTCTGTTAACTATTTGTATGTTGTGTGATATGTGAAAGAAGGTGATTTACATTGAAATTTTGTTATATGTACATTGTTTTCATTATATAGACTGCTTGAGAATAGTGCGCTCCTGGGTGATTTTGAACATGCTACAATGAAATGTGAAACTATCGACCATGGAAACACCAGCTAGAGGTTTTATGGACATTCGACCAGCTATTCTCATATCATGATAAAATTCAGCAAACAGTATTGAGTAAATTTAATAGATGGCAATAAGACTATGGTTATTATTATTCGTCTTTCCCCATCTTTCCACGTGCTCTCCTTCTCCTTCTCCTTCTCATTCTCCTTCTCCTTCTCCTTCTTCTTCTCTGTGTCTCTTTTCTTCACCTGCTCTTTTAGTTACAATATAAGATACCCAATTTTGAATTTCAGGAATAATTTATTGAAATCAGGTATTTAGCCATTCATCATCACGTCAACAGAAATGGTTTTGGGATAAGCATCTAGCAATATGACTGAATTTGACACTGAGAAAATAATCTGCATGTATGTTACTGAATATTTGAGTTCGCAAAAAATCCCTTTTATTAGACACATTGTAAAAAGCATGCATTCACAATTACTGCTGTTATTGTTCCATTTTTTGTGTCATATGCTTGCTACTTGTAACTTTTTATATAAAGGTACATAAAACAATGTATAATAATTTCTTACCTTGAGTTTTAAGGTAATGTTTTCATTTCCTTAATCAAAACCCAATGGAAATTCACCAAGTCTGTTTTGTGTACTTAGCAATGTTTAATTTTTAGAAACTAAAGATCAAGGGTAGCAAACCACATCTCTAAAATCATCCCTTTCTCTCTCTCCCCAAACAGCCAATCAGACAGACCAAGAAAACACATCTTATTTAAATAATTTTCAGTAGGTTAAAATGTTTGCACAGCAAATAAAGATTTTCACCTGTAGGTTTAATTAAATTGAATTAAAGGATAAAAACATGGGGGAAAAGAAATCATAGATCCTGTCCTCCTAACTGAAATGTAACTTCTACTGCCTTCAAGAGAGTTTCCCAGAATTTGCACTTTTAAGAAGTATAAGATCAGACCTATGTTGGTTATATTAAATTTATAGCTTGAGACTAATTCTGGAGATATATGGCTTACCACCACATATATAGTAATACCAGCTGCAATTCATGAATGAAGATGCATGTTGATATGTAATTAATATTAAAACTGATCCTTAATGATTAAATTCAGTAAAAAATTAATACAGTAAGTAAATAAATTCTAAATGATCCAGAAGAGTATATAAACATTTTAAATATATATGTAGTTTCTTTGGTACCTCCATGGCCCAATGCAAGACCTCTAGTTCAGTTTACCCGATTTGACTTTTGCCTGACTAAAGATCATAAGAGTTGGTCATGTGTTGTTTCACACAGAATTATTGCAAAAGTTTGACATAGTTTTCAACCTGGGCAGGTGGTAGGGAGGGAAAGAACTAAGAGCATTTCACCAAGCTCTTAAAAAGAACTCTTTCTGAAAAGCAACAGACCTATCTACTTGTGTTACATGTACTTTTTTATTCTAAAAATATCCTGATAAGAAAATGTGGAGCAAATCTCATTCTGCTAAAAGAATGGTACAAAAAAATCAAAGTTTAAAATGAAATTATATTTGTCAAATATTTTGAGTATGTACTCTGTATACTAACTGCAAATAGAGTAAATCCAAACATGTTTCTGCAAATCTGACTTAGGAATGCATAAGAACAGTATTTTTATAGCAGCATACCTCACTTTTGTACTATGTGTATTTGTAATATACTTTAATATTCCAATTTAGCTTTACTAATTTATTATCGCTTACAGGTCACATACATCAATCCTACTTTCTATACCACCAAGTGAATTTCACCACTGAATTGAATGGCACCCCTATATTTATATATGATCAGTTTCCATATTATGACTTCATTTTCTAAATTTGGTAGCAGGTCACTGTTTTTCTAATCTTTTTAACATCCTGTTGGATATTAATTGCTTAAGACCATTGTGACAACATTTCTACCACCTCCAGACTTAGCTAAATTTTTTCCATTAGGAAATCAAGGATGGAAGAATGAAGAACTTAGTAGTCTTTGGAGTACTGTAATATAAATCCATGTTACATCTTTGGTCATTTAGTATGAGGCTGCATAAAGATAGAATGGGGAGACTGAAATTTGACATGATTGCATTACTCATGACTGTTAGTGAGTTTTTCAATTCATCTCAAGCAGATGCTTCTTTAAGGATGGGAATTTCAAAGGAACCTAATGAAGTGAGGCACCCAAATCCCATTTAAATTCAATCAGAGCTGGGCACTTAAATCTCCTTAGTTTATGGGAAAATTCCAGCCTTTCCAGGTCCTCATTGTGTGTTCGATACAAGCCCATGTATTAAAGAAACCTGTTTTAGGAATGCTATATAGACCTGTTTAAAAATATTTTAAAATCCTTTAAATGCATTTCTTTTTAAATCAGCGTCTTAGGATATACCTAAACTAAAAACAAAGGTGTAATTGCAACATGAATAAGTTTCCCTTTGTCTAGATAGCATGGATAACAACAAAATGAAGATATAGTGACAAAGACTAGAAATTAAAATACTTAGCCAGGCTCCCTGTACTGATATACTACAGTGTCTTCACTACACTGTTATCTCAACTAGCTAAATTAAAACTAGCATGGCTGTATCTACACCTGTTGCACTCATACCTTTATTTGCAGTGTAAACAGACTTTGACTTAGCATGTCAGTGTTTGATGAAGAAACCCCCCTGTAAAATAGGGAAAAGGGTGCTTGCTTACTTTGTAAAGCACTTTGAGATATACTAATGATGAAAACTGCACCAGAAGTTACAACCTAAACCAAAACTATGAGTTTCATATCCCACCAATTAACAAAAGATCATGCCAAATTATGAAATGTCAAGTGAAATGAGCATTCTGAAAACTTTAGTTTTGGGACTACTTCAATATTTTAGGGACCTAAGACAGGAAAGTGCCTCCTGGGCCATTTAATAAATTTTTAATAATGTTAAGATATTTTGTTTCAACTTTTATATTACATGTTAATATTTAATGTTTTAATAACATGCATATTAATATTAATATGATGGCAGAATAGAGAAGGGCATAATATTATATATAGTATTCAAATAAATGGTAAAATTAATCTTTTCATATACTCTAAAACTCCAAAAGAAGAATAAGGTTTTTGACAATGTCACCCCCTCCCCCCCATCACCAAAAAACCAAAAACAAATACAAAATTACAGTTTGGCCCTTTTCCCCCTAGAAAGGGTAATTGAAACTGCCACATCCCTGTGAAATATTTTTATATTGTTGAAACTGTTTCTCAGCATATGACTCTTTTAGCCAAACTTTCTGCCCAGCTGCATAAAGGAACTTCTGTAGCAGATGTGTAAGATGGACAATACTGAAAGATTAGCTAGTCTACTCCTAATCAGTTCATTTTCCATGCCTACTCTTCCTTTAGCGTTTGAGTAAGATTGCTATCAAGGGTACCAAAGAAAGTTCTGAAAGTATTCATGAAGCTTATACTTTTCCACTGGCTTGAGGCCTTGTCTGTATTACCAAAGTTGCACTAGTTTAACTAGATTGATTTTGAATTGATTTCATTAAAGGGATGCAAAAAAGTAAGGAAGATGCACTGGACATGGTTTGAACCTTACAAAAAACAGTTTACTTAATTCTGTATTCTACTGAAGTAATCTGTACTGATTTCAACATTGGATAAACTGATTTATGTCTGTCTACATGCAGGATTGCAGTGTTTCAACTAAGTAAGTTCAGTTATACTGGTGTAAATTTTCTAGTATAGACAAGCTCTTTTTTTCACCCTTGGCTGCAGAGCTCTGTACTCCCTTTTACTTTGAGGTAATTATATAGACAGTCAGCCCTGTCATTGTTTCTTAAAAGCCATATGGTATGTCCAGAGTCTGCACAATCTCAGCTTTCATTAAAAAAGACCTTACTAATGAACTGAGCATCTAGTCCTTGTGGTTGGCTGAAAGCTATTCAAGCATGTAGGAAAGCCAGTCCATCTTGTTTGCCTGGTTCTTCAGACAAGCTGAAACAGTGGCTTTGATAAGGAAGAATCCCCTATTCTCTGTTAATCTATGTGAGGTGTTAATTCTAAAAATTTAATGGAGATGTGATAGATGTAAGAACATACGAAATGCCATGCTGGGTCAAACCAATGGTCTGTGCAGCCCAAAATCCTGTCTCTGAGAGTGGCCAAAGTGGATGCTATAGAGGGAGAGCATTGAACCACATATTTCTTGAGTGATCTGTCCTCTATTTAATGCCTTCTCTTGCATCCAAGCAAAAATGAGATTTTGTTACATTACAAATAGCTATATGCAGCTTTAATCTGGGTAACACATGTAACAAAAGTAGTGAAGACTGAGGACCACAGATTTCGGAGCAAGTTCTACAAGCCGACTGGAGACTTAAAGTATGCACTCAGATCGCTAACCCATGCCACTGCATTGTCTCTGTCACCTAGGCTTGCTAAATTAAAGCAAACTCAAATATACTTAACTCCCCTGCCAGCCTTCGCATTGTTTAGGACAATTTCCCCCCAACCATTTTTCCATTTTATACCGTGTGCTTGGGGGTACTGCCTCACAACAATCTGTAAGCAATCTTATCCTGTTTTGGAACCTTTCTTAAAACACTTCTGTACAGGGAAGGCTACAAGACATTAAACAATGGATAGATAGTCATATTGAGGCTGTTGTTAAACATGAAGATTTAGTGGTTGACTTCTCTTGCAGTCCATATTAATTTTCTATGTCCACTTTGTCTCCCTATTGGCCATTGTAAATTCATTTTAATTACATGTATTACAGTTATGAATACTTAAGTGGGGTCTTCAGATGCTACTAGAATGTAGAAAATACATTTAACGTCTGTTTGCAGTGCATGAAACAAGCAACTCCTTTATCAAGCAGTCAGCAACACAAGGTCAGTGACTGGGAATTGGAAACCATTTAGCCTGTGTGACTAAGAGCTAGGATGCTTATAAGGGCTGAAGAGGAGGGGGAGGAGGAGGAGGAGGAAGAGGAGTTACTGGGCTAGGAAGCTGTCTACTCTGCCTAGGCAACCAGCTTTCCACCCAGAGTTGTTCACATATGGCTAGGAGCACCAGACCAGGTGCATTGGTACAATGAGTGGAGTGAAGTAAAGGAGTTAGCTTTCAGCAGAACAAAGAGGGAGATCTCCGGAGTTGTTCTTTGCAGGGTAAGAGCAATAAATAAATATTTCTCACCAGAAAAGTCCAAGTTATCTGAAGCACCCATCTTTTAAAGTAGTGAGTTCCTTCAGCTAGGTTGCCCTCCCCCTGCTGTCAAGTCTGTTGCCATAGACATGGGCAGACATGAAAATTGGTCCCAGTTAACC